TCTTTCCTGATGTTTGTTGCACAGTTCTTTCTGTCATCATCTCCTTCATTTCCAAAATTTCCTTTAACTATTCTTTAAGGTTGATTTCATTTTCTTTCCTCTGAAAATTATATATTTTTATTTTGGTGGTACTGGGGTTTGAACTCAGGAATTCAAGCACGCTACCACTGAGTCACACCTCAAGTCCCCAAAATGTCTTTAATTCTCCCTTTATTCCTGAAGAATGTTTTTACCAGATGAACAGTTCTTTTCTAGAAAAATGTCACTTGAAAAATATTGTGCCACTCCCTCATGGCCTCTATGTGTCTAATAATAGCATTTAAAATATTTTTCCTGTGAGGTGCCTTGGCTTGCACCTATAATCCCAGGGAGGTGGAAATTAGGAGAATTGAGGTTCAAAGCTAGTCCAGGCAAAACCTTAACAAGACCCAATTTCAACTAATAAGCTGCACATGGTAGCATTAGCCTATGGTCCAAGTTAAATGGGAGGCTGTAAACAGGTGGATCACAGTACAGGCAAGATGGACAAAAACATGAGAACTTGTCTTTAAAAATAGATAACCTAAAAAGCAAAAAGGGTTGGAAGTGTGACTCAGGTGGTAGGTTGCTTGCCTAACTAGCACAAGACTGCAAGTTCAAACCCCAGATGAAATAAGTAAATAAATAAATAGATTTTTTTCCCTTATAAGGAAGGTGTCTTTTTCTCCCACTGGTTTCTTTGTCTTTACATTTTAAACTTTGATTGTGATGCTTCTTCATGTGGATTTCTTTGAGTTTATGCTATTTGGGTTTTGTTCAGCATCTTAAATTTGTACATTTGTGTCTTTGGTGAAATTTGGGGATTTTGAAGTATTATTTCTTTGAATATGTTTTTTAAGCCCCAATTCATTTTTTCCACTTTTTTTGACTTGATTACTCCAGTGCTTGATCTGTCTTTATAACCTCACAAGTCCCCAAGGCTCTGTTCATTCTACTTCAGGCTGTTTTCTTTCTGTTGTTCAGATTGTGTAAGTCTGTTTTTCTGTCTTCAAGTTCACATCTGTGGACCCATTATTTGAGCTTTTTATCTCAGTGTATATATTTTTCAGTTCTATAATTTCTACTTAGTTGTTCTTTATATCTTCTATTTCTTTGTTAAGGTTTTCTATGTTCTGATGTGTTCTTTGCTTTCATTTGTTTAAAGATGATTTGTGTTACTTATTGGAGAATATTTATGATAGGTCCTTTAAAATCTGCGAGATTCTAATAGTCACATCTCCTAGTGTTAACATTCAGTGATTGTCCTTTTTAATTCCAGTTAAGAATTTCACAGTTCTTGTTATGATGAATAAGTTCCAACTTCATTCTGGGTATTTGGAGTAGTATGTTATGAGTCTCTGTGTCTTATTTAAATATTCTATTTTGATACACAAACTGATACCACTCCAATGGGGCAAAATGGATACCATCTCATTGTTGCCATTTATGGGTGAAATCCCAGGCTCCTTATTGGCCTCTATTGGGACCTTGATGTGAGGTTGGTGCTTAATTACTGGTGGGCAAGGATGGGAGATAAAGCTCTCCACTAACTCTCCACTGACACCACCCTGGTGGGGAGGGAGACTTGTTAATGCTCCCCATGGGATCCCACTGATACCATAGCATCAAGAAGCCTTATTAATGCTGAGTGGTGGCAAAAGTCATGACCTTCTACATCACCCCAGGCCTTCTACATCACCCCAGTGGGAAAGAGATGGGGACTACCTTACTGACCCCAGGTAGGAAATGGAAGACTGACTTCACACATTACTGATACCATAGATGAGAACCTCATTACCACTGGGAGGACATGAAAGTCTAAGCTTGCTACTCAGCCTTCTCTGACAGCACTTGCTTAGAGGGTATTTGTGTCCATTATAGCCAGATGAATTGGGAATGCCTAATCATGCTTGGCTGGGGGGCAGGGGAAACAACAGTGGCATGTTGCATGGTTTTTACCTAGTGTTTGGTTTGAGTGAGGCAGTTACTTTCTAAATGTTTTCTGACTTGCTAGGTTGGTCCTCAAGCTAGAGAAAGCAGGCTTCTGTTGGAACTTTCTGTTTGTACCTAGAGGCGTCTCCAGCAAGACTGATCAATGTCCATATATGAGGCATGTATAAGCAGACTACCGGAGGCAAAAGAAAACTTAGGAAACTCACGGGTCAGCCATCCCTTTGCTTCTGGGAATCCTAGCTGGCCTACTTTCTTCTCTCCATCATTCAGAGTCTACATATCTTTGTTTTAAATATAAGATTTGAAGTTTTAGGTGTACTTAGTAAAATGAGTAGGGAGACATATGTCTATGTCATCTTGTCCAGTGGACAAGATGTTTTCGGTTTTTTTCCCCTAGCATCCTGCTGTTGTTTAATGGTTTCAGTGCCTTTACTTTCTTTTTTTTGAGATTTACTAATTTTAACTCTTTGAAGTTTTCTTCTATCTCCTATATTTTCTTTCCTCTTTTTTTCTTTTACTATTTATTTCTTTGTCCTGTTTTTGTGATTTGTTTTTTTTAGTGTGTTGAAGATTTTTCTTAAATGTCTAACTTTTCTTCCACATTTATTAAGAGCTAGTCACCTAAGATCTGTTTAGATGCTCTGTGGGCATAATTTTCCTAATCAACTAGCAGGCTTCATGGTGCTGTAATTAAGTAAGAAGATGCTTATTTTGTTAGTTGTGCTCTTTGATGTGGGTTGGTTTCTTCACAGCAGTAGCCTCCAAATGGTCATTGAGGATGCTCAGATTTATTATGGGGATGAAGCAGGGTGCTGAGTGGTCACTATGAAGGTTTTCTTGTTTTCCTTGTGTTGACCCTCATCCTCTCCACTGCTTTTACCAATAAGTCTCTTTTTTCCCAGAATCTGGAAACTTTCCTTCATTCTGACTCACTAAACTACAGCTGTTAACTGAGGTCCATGCTCTTACACACAAACCATCCCAGATCCTCTGTGCTTCCCAGGATTTTTCTCCATCTTTTACACAATTCCTGGCCATCCCAAGTCTGTGTTCCTTCACACACTTTCTGTGCTCTGTAACATCACTTATCTCTCCTGCATCTACTTACATTTTTTCCAGAATTTGCTGAAATTTCTCCTCTGCCTCTTTTTTTTTTTCAGTACTGGTTATTGAACTTGGAGCCTTCCTCACCTAGGGCTTTACCATTTGATCCATGTCCCTGATCCCATTCCATTGTTTCTTCATTTTGCCCTTTTAGAAATATGAAGATATACAGTAGGTACTTAACTTACAACAGCTCCTTACATTCAGATGATCCCACCTCAAAGTCTGCTCACTGGCCTTCTTCCCTAGGACACATGGGGACCACCAGAACCACTTGGGTTGCCTCACCTCTCTCATCTTCCTGTATCCCTGATGCAGTGACCCTCAAACTAACTGTACAGCAGAACTTCTAGAGGGCATTTTACACAGATTGCTTATCCTGCCCCCAGAATTTCTCACTCAGCAATAGGTCTTGGTAGGGCCTGAAATCTTACATTTCTGGCAAGTTCTCAGAATATACATCATGTATCACCACTCACTGGGCAGACCTAGCCAGTGTCTCTAACTCCAGGACTTTGATAAGGATGCCGCTATCTTCAGGCTCCACTGCAGCAGGTCCCATTTCTAAGCTTATTCTTGTGTTGCTGGTGACTGGAGACCTCCGTGACTTGCCCCATGAGTCTCTTCATAGCGCTGCTCACAGTATGTCAGCTGACTTCCTCCAGAGCCAGGCATCCATGAAAGGCTACCCAAAGTGGAAACCATAAACTTATGGGAACCTACTCTTGAAGTGATAGTCATTTCTGCTGTATCCTATTTATTTGAATCCAGTTACTAAATTCAGTCCTTACTCAAGAAGAGAGTCTCTGACAAGAGCTTAACTACCCAGAGGTGGGAACACTGGGGGCATCTTTGATGTTGCCCTCCACACTTGGTGGTGCTGCTGGTCTGGGGTAGGGGCACACTTTGGAAACCACAGCCTAACTGCATGGCCTCAGAGTAAAGAACTTTGTTCCTGAGATTGAAGCTCTTTGGTGAGTGGATCTTAAAGCAGCCATTGTGGCATCTCAAGATTGGAGAAGAGGTGGGAGGGGTAGGAGGGTACTTGGCTCTTTTCCAGTAAGCTGACTGAAAAGAAAAAGGCTAAGTTTGCACTCCTTGTTATCTCTGAACACCCATAGAGAAGGCACAGAAGTACTCGGGTTCTAATGCTGATAAAGCAGAATATGAGGATAAAGCACCAGATGGCACCAACATGTCCCTGCCAATCACTCAGGTGAAGGCTGACAAAAGGCAAGGAGTCAGTGCAGTGAGAAAGTCTGGCAGGAAGATTTCATCTAGTCTGAAAAATGTGAGGATGGCTCCTTTTCCTTACAGGTGGCTTTCTGTTACTTACTTTCTAAATGGCTTTAGGAGGACTCGGTTTTCATATCTTATGTATAATAAAGTGCTGAACAGGATGCTGCACATAAAGCATGCACAATTAACATCCATCCCATTGTGGGTACTTTGAGGTCATGAAAGGGTCTGTGCTGTGGTCCTTGCCTCGTCTTGGAGATATGGTCTCTGTCAAATAAGACTAAGTAATAGGTGCCTGGAGTGTGCTTCTGCTTAAATCCTGTCCTCAAGAGACACTTTTTAAGCAAGGGCTTTGGCCACATCACTGACCTTTGACTAGTATTTCCAGTGAGCATGCCAAGTTCATTAATTACTTTCAAAACCTAGTCTTTGATCAAAGTACAAGACTGGATTTTTTTAAATAGTCTTGAAAGTATACATTTTAAAAGGAACAAGATTTTTTTGTTTTTAATCTTCACCTTTTTTTCAAAATTACTGTGTGAACAAAGTATTTCATTGTGATTTGTACTTTGAGAATTAGCTAAAACATAGTGTTCTTCAGAAAAGAAGCTGAGCAGAAGAACAAGGGTGTCTCAGGTTGATAAACCCTTACTCTGGTCTCTGATACATTCTCCTCTGCTCCCCAGAACCACATCACCTGGGAAGAGCCACCACGCAGGAAACCACGTTGTACCAACAGTCAGAAAGCTCCTCACACTAAGCCAGTCCAGAGGCTATTCTACATGACTGAGATGATGACCGGGACCCTCCCCTCCATCTCTGCAGAGGAAGCTTTGCAGCCCAGGAAGGTCCCTCAGCACTCCCGTGTCAGTCTGGATGACCTGTGGCTGGAGAAGATGCAGAGAAGGGAGCTGGAGAAGCAGGCACAGGTTGAAGGGAAGTCACACACAGGGATGGCACATGTGGACCAAGTCCAGGTAGGCCACTCACAGACCAGGTGTCTTCTAACTTAGCCTGCTGTCCTCTCCTCTTCTGCAGCAGCCTGCCCCTTCCTGACTGTCCTGCACTGACCCTTGTCACCTGGGAGCCCCTGGATTGAACTTTGCATTATTGTAATGAGTAGCTAGAATAAACCAGCTCATAAAGATGAAAAGTTTATCTTGGCTCACAGTTTTGGAGGTTTCAGTCCATGTTCCCCTCTGGTTTGGATGTAAGGTGGCACAGTGCATCACACAAGAAAGCATGCCGGAGAACATATATTCACCTTGTGGTGGCCAGGAAGAGGAGCAGAAAGAGATCAGGGTCCTACAGGCATCTTTAAGGGCACCCCCCATTATCTAAAGCCCCCCACTAAGTTTCCTTACTCCCCAGTAACCCCAAACCAAGGACCAAACCTCAAACACATGGGCCTTAGGGGGATGTCCAATCCAGAGCAGGCCCAGTGGCCTGCTTCCCAGAGCTTCTGAGGTCACACCCCCTCTTGTGCCCCAGGGATGTCCTGCAAGCACCTATCCCTGTGCAGGGCCAGAGGCCAGGGAGAAAGAAGGGGCTCCTTGCCTTCCAGGCCCTTACCAGAGCAAGCACTTCTGCCTGTCACACACTGCACTAGCATTAGCTCGAGTGCTCAGCAGTCTTGATTAGACTAATGAAGTGAAGTTATACTGTCTACCAAATTTTGTTGACACAGATGTTTTGAAACCAGGGAAACTACATGAATCCAACAGCCTATTAAAAATGACTCCACAGTGTTTACATCACATCTTTTACCCTCTCCCTACTTCTTGTTCTTTCCCTTTATAAAATAACAATGTTTTTTATTATCCAGTATTTGTATTTGTATTTGTGAAGTATTTGTGAAGAACATTATCTCTAAGTTCTCCTCATTCCTGAACTCCAGCATTTTTTATTGAGGTGAAATTCGCACATTAAGTGAACAATTCAGTGGCACTTTATACATTAACAATATTTTGCAAGCATCACCTCTATCTAGTTCCAAGACATTTTGATTATCACAAAAGGAAGCCCAAACCCATTAAGCCATCACTGCCCATTGCCCGTTCCAAGGCCTGGGAAGCATTAGTCTCCTTTTGTCCCTAGGTTACCCATTCTCGATGGTTCATGGAAATAGAATCATACAGTGCGTGACCTTTCTGTGTCTGGCTTCTTTCCCTTAGCATAATGTTTTTGAGGGCCATCTACATCATAGCATAATTAGTATTTAATTCCTTTTCATGGCTAAATAATATCCCATTATATAGGTATGTTGGTTTCATTTTGCGTAGTCATTATTCATTGTAAGAGATTTGGGTTGTTTGCACCTTTGGCTGTCGTTAGCATTATCTGCAGGGCTAGTGAACAAATTTTTGTTTGAATACAAGTTTTCTATTTTTTTGGGTATATTCCTAGCAGCAGAATTGCTGTGACAAATGGTGATTTTGTGATTAACCTGCCCTACTGTTTTCCATCTTGACCACACCATATTGTCTTCCCAGCAGCAGTGTATGAGGGTGAGATTCTCTGCCTTCTCCTCATCAGTGCCTGCTTTCTGTTTTGTTGCTGTTGAAGGATACCAAATGCTGGCAAGGATATAAGGAAAAAGGGTGCCTTTGCACTGTTGGGAACAGAAATGAGTGCAGCCATTATGGAAAACAGAACAGAGGTTCCTCAAAAGCCAGAAATAGAGCTACCCTCTGATCCAGCAGTCCAACTTCTGAATATCCCCCCAAAATAGTTGAAGTCAGTATGTTGAAGACATATCTGCACTCCCATGTTCTCTGCAGCACTATTTACAACAAACAAGTTATGGAATCTATGAGTCCATCAGCACATAAAGAAAATGTGGCACATATGCACAGTGGAACACTACTCAGCTTTTAAAAGGGAAGAAATTTTGTCATTTGCAACAATATGGAATGGGGTGCAAGTGGAGAGCATTATGCTAAGCAAAACATAGAAAGACAAATACTGCATGTTCTCACTTGTATGTAGACTCTAACACAATCAAACTGACAGAAGCAGAGAATAAACTGGTACTTACCATAGAGGCAGGGGACGGGGGTGGAAAGGTTGTAGTTAGAGAGTACAAGTCCTCAGTTAAATAGGAAGAACAAATTTGATTTTTTTAGGTCTATTGCACAGCATGGTGAACAATTGAGAACTGTACATTTCAATGTCTGTAAGAAAGTACATCTCAAATGTTCTTATCACAAAAAGTCATATATTTGAGGTGATACACAGGTTTATTAGCCTGATTTCATCATGCTATGTTCTAACAAAAATCCTAAGTTCAGGCCAGGTGTGAAGGTGCACACCTGGAGGCTGAGGCAGATGGATTGCAAATTCAATGCCAACCTAGGCTATATAGTAAGACCTTTCCCAAAAAAACAAAAATCGTAACAACAACCTGAATGTGATGGTACACCCCTGTAATCCCAGCACTCAGGTAGTGGAAGCAGGAGGGTCACAAACTTGGGCTCTGTAGTTCAAGGCCAGCCTGAGCTACAGAGGTCCTGTTCAGAACAACCAAGGGCTAGAGATGTAGCTCAGTAGTAAAGCACTTGCTAGTACGCACAAGGCCCTGGGTTCAATTCTCAGTATCACACAAAAACAATCACATCCCTTTGCTCACCATCAATACATGGAAATATACTTTTTAAAAATACATAATTTTCTAAAAAATTAGAAGAAAGTACAAAACAAAACTTGGGAATATGAAACCAAACACACAATTCTCAGATTTTCAAGGTCAGTTGCTTCTTTTTGCCACTTGATTGGATGATTCTGTGATTTAAAAAAGAGGCAATGGTTGTGGATGAAGTGGAGAGAGCTTGCTTAGCTCTTCCTTCCCCAGAAGAAAGAAGGAAGGAAAGAAGGAGGGAGTGAGGAAGGGAGGGAAGGAAGTGAAGGAAGGAAGAAAGGAAGAAAAGAAGGGAGAGAAAGGAAGCAAAGGAAGGAAGAAAGGAAGGAAAGAAGGGGGAGAAAGGAAGAAAATAGGTAAAGAAATGAAGTATAAAAAATAGTAAACCTGAGAATATAATAAAAATTGTTTTAAAATGTTAAACCTGGTAAGTGTTAAATGGGACAAAGGTTAAGTGGGAAATCAGATTTTCAATGCTGATGAGACTGACTTGTAACATGGATGTTGACAAATGAACCTAGATAATACAAATGGAATGACAAAAATGTAACCAGGGGCTGGGGTGTAGCCTAGCCAGAGTACATACTTAGCACCCACGAGGCTCTGCGCCCCACCCAAAACACATGACCAGCTGCTAACAGGAACCTGACTGTTTCCTCTAGGTCAACATTTGCTCAGTCGTTGTTTGTGGGGACTTTGTAGACTGCAGCTAGCACAAGTTATGAGAACTGAGTTGAAAGACACATGCTTCAGAAGATGGACTGCAGGGAAGCCTGGGGTACAGGCTTAGGACAGGGTTCCATCCTGATAAATCTATTGGAGGCCAAATGCATCTAAGCCATCTGTCACAGCTCAGCAGTAAAGGACACTAGGATGTTGGTGCTCCCCTGTGGTCCTGGGGCTGGCTGTGCCCTGAATCACCAGAGAGCATGGTACTGCATATCACCAGCCCAATAAAAGATCCAAATTCAAAATTAAAGTGTAGTTTCTACTAAATGTGTATCACTTTCACACCATTGTAAAATCAAAGGTGAACCATTCTAGCTCAGAAACTGTCTGCAGGTGGACATAAAGCAGTCACCTCCAGTGGTGACTCACTTATGGTCTTCATGTTAGACGGTTTTCCCATGGTTTATAGCCCCACCCCTGAATCTGTCTGACCACAGGTTTTGGACTTTCCGTGTCTGTACAGATAGGCGGCTGCTGAGTGTTCATCAAGGCCCTATATACACCAATTTGAGAGGGCTACAAGTCAGGGATTGAGAATGTCTGGATTAAAGTCTTTTATTTTTATTTATTCAACACATACTTAGTGAAAAAAATCACTCACTGAGCACTTACTTAGTGGGCCTTGCCATGGATGGTGAGAACATAAAACCTCAAGCACTTCAATAGAGGAACAATGAGAAGAATATTTTTAAAGTAGGAAAACCAGGAGAAAGTCAAGAGTCAAACAAGAACAGTGAATGGGCAGCAAGGTCAAATGCAGCAGAAAGCATTGTAGGCGGCTGTGGAGTTCCCAGTGTGAACTTAGCGCTGAGTGCCATCAAAGCTATGAGGTGTAGGAGGACAGGAACCAGCCCCGCCAGAGGAAGGGCAGGAATTGATGCTGCAGAAGCAGAAGTATAATCTATCTATCTCTTTAAAAAAGCTTGGCCCAGGAAATAAGGATATTTGGATCAGGTTAGATTGTTCAACCTCTCTGAGCCTGTTTCCTTTCTACCTTGCTGGAGTTATTGTGGGGTTAAATGAGGGTATCAGTTACTTCTGCATTGCTGTGACAAATACCTGAGAAAAACAACACAAATGGAGGAATTAATTTCTTTTAGCTCAAAGATTTCAGTCCATAGTCCTGGGATCTGTCTGGGACTGTGATCAGCAAAGCATCATGGTAGCCAGGTACAGGAGGAAGCTGTTCTGCTCATGAGGACAGGAAGCAGAGAGCAAGACAGGACCTAGGAAACCTCAATAGCATGTTGTCAATGACCTTCTTCCTCCAGCTACGCCACAACTCCTCAAAGTTTTCAAAACCTCCCAGCACCACCAGCTGGAACCAAGCATTCAACCCATGAGCCTGCAGAAGACATTTCATATTCAAAACATAACAGGGAGAAACAGAACAAAGTGCATAGCACACACCAGACACCCAGTGCTTAAGGAAAGCCAGGTCCCTTCCCTTCCTCTTGTCAGCCCTTCCTTGAACAATGAGCATGACACGTTGCCATGTGGTAGGGACAAAAGGTAACAACAACCTCTCTCCACAAGGCGCACCTGTTTGGTCTAACCAGGGTGACAGCATACATAGTGTATATTGCAATTCTCTTTGACATAACGGCACAGTAGCTTACATTGAGATGAGTGCCACAGTGACACTGACGCAGTGCTGTTGACATGGGGTGGGGAGCCTTGTAGAGGGAGCATGGAGAACACTTTGCACAAAAGGAGACACTTCTCAGGCTGACACTTCCAAGGAAAGGTATGAAGGGTGTGGTAATATAAAAATTCATGGAGTATGGGGGCGGGTAATGAGTGGAAGGTGCCTGGTGACAAAGAAGCAGATGAGAAGAGACTTGCTGCAGTGCTCATAGACAGTAAGTTGACAAACTCTGGGCCCCATGGTAATAAATCTTGATATTACCGTGTAGGCAACAAGCAGCCATAATACGTAACAGGTCAGCGAGACACGGTGAATTAGGTCTGAAGCACGGGGAAAGCTTAGGAGGATGTAGAAGTCACCTGATGTGAGAGATGACTTGACAGAAAGCCTTGTGAAAAGGATTTAGTCACAAGCCTACATGATATTTTAAATAATCAACTGTAATTTTGCATGCATGAAGCAAATCCATGCACAGGGTCTGTTTTCCCCTCATCCATGATTAAAGTAGACTACTGAAGAACTCCAGGTGTAAGATTCTCTGGATTCTAAAAGGTTTGGAGGCCTCCTAGGAATTCCAGAAAATGGAGATGGTCTATTAGCTGGGTCAAATAATGATCTGGTCATTCCTACTAACAAATAAACACATATTGCCAGGATGATTACCAGAGTATGGGAGGAAGCAGGGCTCGCGTGGTGGGGAGGAGGCCAGCACCCAGGAAGGATGGAGCTAGCTTGCCGCTCTCCACGCACCCACGGCACCACATGGATTATTCTGAAGTGTGGAGACTGCCCAGTGTCTTTCTGTTGCCGATTCCCAGATTGATTCCATTATGGCCAGAGAGGCACATTTGGCCTGACTTTACTATTTTTAAACTTAAGTTTTTTGCTGTTGTTGTTATCATCAAGAATATGGTCTCTCTGGTGAATGTGCCACACTCCCAAAAATGAAATGTGTTGTGCAGTCGTTGGGTGGGCTTCCTACAAATGCTGGTTAGTTCCAGGTTGATGGTGTTGCTCACAGTATCTGTTTTCTTGCTTCTGTCCATCATTCTGTCAACTATTGAGATGAGCGCTGAGGTCTCTGACTCTAATTGAGTTTTCCATCTGCCCTTTACCTCATAGTCCTTGAAAGTCTGTGTTTGGATGCATACATATTAGGAGTCTCTCTTCTGAGGACTTCACACTGTCACTATGTCATGTCTTTCTGTATCCGTGGTGACTTCTTTCCTTGCTCTGAAGTTGGTTCCGTCTGGTGTTAATACAGTCACTCAAGTTTCATTTTGCCAGCTTTGTGTAGTATACAGTTTTCCATCATTTACTTTTCACCCACTTTTGTCATCAGGATGAAAGTGAGATTCTTATGGACAGCATTGTGCAGGTGTTCTTCCCCTTTAACTGTCTGCACAATCTTTCTTTTAATTCAGTGCTTTTATTTAAATTTAATGTAACTATTGGTGAGTTTGGATTTAGGTCTACCAACCATGTTATTTGTTTTCTCTTTCCTAATTTTAATTGCTCTTTTTATTATCTTCTTTTGGATTATTTGGGTCTTTTTTGTTTTCCATTTTAACTTATATTGAGTTTTTAGCTGTACTTCTCTGTGTAGTTTTGTTAATAGTCATGTTAAAGATTAGTATAAATTTTTCATTTTTCAGTCTGCCTGGAACTAATGTTGTACCAGTTCACGTGGGATGCAGAAGCCTTCTGTCATGCAGGTTCCTTTAACACCCTGATAAGACTTGGACGTTCTTTGTCCCCATCAAAACTCAAGTTGAGCTTGGACCTAAGTAATGGGGTAGAGAGGTGGAGGGACCTTCAAGAGGTTAAGGTCATGGGGGGCACCACTCTTATGAAAAGATTAGTGTAATTCCCATGAGAGTGGGTCAGTTGTTGCAAGAAAGTATTGTTTAAAAGCAAATCAGCATTGTTTCTCAATCTCTCTCTCTCTCTTTCTCTCTCTCCTTCCCTTATTTGTGCTCTCCTTCCCATGCAACCACATGCCTTAAGCAAATACTGCCAAGTGCTCCTAGACTTCAGAACTGTGAACCAAAATAAACCATAAGTTACCTAGTCTTGGATGCTTTGTTATAGCAACAAGAAACAGACTAATACACTCACCTTTTATGCTGTTGTTGTCATGTATATTATATCTACATACATTGAAAACCTCAACAGACTTTTGTCAATCATACTTTTAAAACTTAAGAGAAAATAATTGCCTAGCTGTTTATCACTTCTGTTGCTCTTTCTTCATTCTGAAGTTTGAAGATTCCCTCTAGTATCAATTCCCTTAGGTCTGAAGATTTTTCTTCTTTTTTTCTTTTTTTTTTTTTTGCTGTTGTTGTTGTAGTACTGGGGTTTGAATTCGGGGACTTGCTAAGCAGGTGCTCTACCACTTGAGCCACAACCCCAAGTCCTTTTCCTTCACTTATTTTTCAGGCAGGGCCTCGCTGTTTGTGAGGGCTGGCCTGGACTGAGATCCTATTTATGCTTCTTGCATTGCTGAGCTGACAGACACATGCCACCGTGCAATCTGCAGCTTGTCCTTACTGCTGTCAAAAGCCTTAATGGCCTGTGGTTTTCAGCAGTTTGTTTTTGACGCCCTGGACACTGGTCTCCTTGGGCTTTCCTGTTTGAAGTTTGCTGAGCTCTTGTGTCCTTGGGGCAATGTCTCCCATCATATTTGCAAAGGTAGTAATTATTTCTACATGCTGTTTTAGAGGGGGCACTCTTTTCTCTCTCCCTCCTTTGTTCAAGCAACCTTTCTCTCTTGCTCCTGGTTATTACCGAACCTAACTGGGCTTAACTGGGGGCAACTGGAGATTCAGGAAAGACAGGGTAGACAGACAGATAGAAAGTGGGGTCAGGTGTGTTGGGTGTTGGGGGGGAGGGGAGATGCCCAACCCTCTTTGCTTCTTTTCTCTATCTTTATTCTTTAAGGCCTTACTCCTTGCAGTTCTTTAAAACCTTGCTTAAAACCTCTTTCCTTAGACTCCTCACACTGTCCCATGTTTTCTCTTAGCTTATCTTTAGCTTAATCCCTCTTAAAGTCTTTTGCGTCTGGCTTGCAGCTTTTCTTTAGCATTCTCTCTTTAGCTTTCTTAAAGCCTCCGTGCTCAGACTTGCAAAGTCTCGGTCCTCTATCTTGCACTGTCCCATGTTCTCTTTGGCTTTTCTTTAGCTTCTAAAGCCTATGTTAAAGTTCTTTCTTTGGCTTTGCTTTTCTAAGGCCTATGTTAAAGTTCTCGGTGCAGACTTTCTATCAACCACTCTTTAGCCATTCTTTTCCCTTCAGCAATTTCCCTTAAGCAATTCTTTTCCCTTCAGTAATTCTTCAGTAATTCTTTTCCCCTCCAAAAGCTTCCCATACCAAAAAGCCCAAAGCAAAAACCAAAGCCCAAAAAACCAAAGGCAAAAAAGCAAAAGCCCCCAATCCTCCTTCAGTTCCTTTTATAAACAGTGGCAAGCAGAGTGGAGCAGAGGCTCGGGGAGGGGCATGGCATTGTCACAGGAGAAACCTGCATTCCTGCTTCTCTGAAGGCAAGCTTAGGACATGCAGCTGTTCTGCTTTTTCTGCTTCTGGCTGGGGCTGTGCCTATCTTGGCCTACAGGTAAAAGCAATTAAGCTGCATCTTGCCTTGCTTATGTCCAGTTCTCATAGACTTCTCAGAATTCACTCTCCACACTGTTAGGTACATGCTTTGTCTTCTCCTCCAGGACTCTAACGACAGTGTTGTATCCCTGGGTGCAGGACCCCTGGATTGCTACTTGAGCTGTGCCCTCTAGCCCTGGGATCACTTTTTTGAGCATTCTCCTCTCTTCATTCTTCCAGACGTTTTCTGGTGTGGGCTTTCATTTTCTCACTCTGCCATTTCCTGTAACTGTGTCTGCCTCTGGAACTAAGTCACGTGAGGTCACTTGGAGGTCACAGAAGATACATATAACATGTCATATTTTTCATCCATCAGTTGTAGGCATCTGGTCCGTTGCCATAGCTTGGCTGTTGTGAATAATGCTGCAATAAACACGGGTGTGCTAATGTCTCTATTGTAACCTGACTTACATTCCTTTGAGAGAATTGTTGGATCATATGGCAGTTCTACTTTTAAGTTTTTTGAGTAGCCTCCATACTGCTTCCTATGGTGGTTGTACTAATTTACATTCCCTCCAACCATGTATAAGGGTTCCTTTTTCCTGCATTCTGTGTACCATTGGCCCTTACTGTCTGAAGAGTAGTGTCTGTCTCATAATTATGAGTTGTCAAGGTCTTCTTCACAAGTTGAATTTTTATTAAATGCTCTCAAGAAACATGCCTTAGCTAAAACTAATAGTTTTGCTTTGAGATACATAGGCTGTCTTGGCTTAACAGCTCAGGGAGAGCTGAGTGCCTTAAGCCTTCTCAACAGTTGTCTCACTGTGGGTGGCAGCTTGTCACCCTGGGGTTGCACATCTACCCATGCACATTGCATGCTCCAAACCCCAGGAGAAGCTTCCCTCTTGGGTTTTGGTGTAAACCATGCCTCCTGGAGCTGTGGTGTTTTGGCTGTGGTCTCTGCTCTCATTGCTCATTGGCTAAGCAATGAGAAACACTGGAAAGTCTCATGACAGCCTGTCATCTGTGTTCTTCATCTACTCTATGCCTCTTTCCTCCTCCCCTAGATCCTGAAGAAGACAAGTGCCTCTCCAGAGTCTCTACATCTCCCTGGAAGAAGCCTTCTGCTTTCCCAGAGTGCCCCGACAGGACTAAACCACACAGGTTGGCCAGAACACACACCTGACACTGGTGAGCTGTTTCTCTCTCTCATTATACACCCAGGTGTCCTGGAAACAAGGACGAGAGTGGGGGTTTTAGTGGCTTTGTCTTCTTGTCTGGCAGAAGTAGCTTGATGATGAGAGATCAATAGCTAACTCATCCCATCTGTGAGAAAGGAGTGCTTGGTCCAAGAAAAAGGGAATGGTTAGCTTGAGGCAGATTCTCTGATACAGTCCCCAAGGTTGACTTTACAGTTACTTTGAGCAGAGCAACTGACTGAGCCTTGGTCATACAATGGAATATGACCTGTAGGAGATATAGGTAGTAAGCTGTCTCTGATCCAAGAGTGGTGATGGAACTCTGGCTGATTTCTGGTCTTCCTTGAGTTTTACAGCAGCCTCCAAGTTCCCTTTCCAGAACTACAGCAAACAGCATTACGTTGCCTATCTGCCCACTCAAGACAGAACTGACTCCAGATAAGAACCAGGCTAGCTGTCTTCTTGCACATGTCCCACCTTCTTTATTTAGTCTTACCCACGATAGGCTGGGCATGCTGAGAGATCTCCTGGTGGAAGGACAGATGTTGAGTCTCCTGTCCAGAGCAGGTGCTCATTATGTTAAGTAACAATCTCACAATCTAAAAGCGTTCAACTGGCTGGAGGGAGAGCCCAAGTACGGTGCTTAAGACAAGTAAACAAAGGCAAAGCCCTAAACAGAGGTGAGAAAAACAAACTAGCACTTAAAAAAGAACAACAAACATGTGCTTTGCCATGCTGAAGAGTGAGGAGTAGGCTGGCACTTAGGGCTGTCAGTACCTAGGCATGTTGGAGCAAGAGTCATAGAAGGCCAGTGAGGTTAGGCAGCCAACATGAGTAAGGGGTCATCAGCCTGAGCAATGCATTTGCCACAGCAGGCTAAGGAGGCAGCTCTGAGATCTTAAACTCTGAAGGGCTCTGCATATGCTGGGTACCAGTCCTTGGCAGGTTTGGGAGGCAGGGTTAGCCATGGTCATTTCCTGTCAGCAGATGTACATACTGAGGCTGCCCTGGGATGTGGACTGTATTCTCTCTCACGTACGGTTGTGCTCTTAAACTCAGTAAGCAAAAGTCATGAAAAATTGTTTGACAACTGCTGAGTCATCCCCAGGGAAAGGACGTTTTCCCACATGTGTCCTTCATTGAGTTGTGCCATTATTGAGGGGACTGTGGAAGGAAGGGCAGGTGTGAACAGTAGTAGCCTCAAGCTTATTTTGACCCTTGAAGTCAGCACTTTCTTACAAATTCAAAAGCTTCATGGTTATATATTGCGATTATTCCAGAGCCTCATTTGAATTAACTGGAAGATGAACTTATGGAAGAATAAGAAATTTTTTAAGACCTCAGTGACACATGTCCCCAGCATGTGTACACACAGAGAACACTGCTGGGATCAGCGACCAGGCTCTGGGTCTGACCACACTTCATGCTGAGGTGAGAAGTTGGGGGCATCCCTCCACTCTTCTGTGTCTCAGATTCCACTGTCACAGAGCAGTGATACTACACCCTGTCCTCCTGCCTCACAAGGCTGGGGAAAGACTAGGTTGTATCTCTATATGTAGCTCAGATAAGTTTCTTTTTCTTTCCTTGCTTGTTGCTTTTACTCCACCTGACTGGTTCCAGACTTGAGGGATTTCTACCTTACACACATGGTGTTTCCAGTTTTAATTTCTCAAATTTCTTACAGTCTTCATCACTGTCTTCACCATTTATTCTTCTTTATTCTCAGTTCTGGAAAATTTCTGTCCCATCTTTGGCTTTGTTTGCTGGTCACTGCTTCCGTGGGAGATTGTGATTTCCACAGTCATGGTTTCAAGTGTCACACCATCCTTCCAACATGCAATTGGAACATAAAGACAGAAAAATCAGGAAATTTGTAAGATTTTCCCACTGATCCTGGCTTTCAATTGATTTGTGAAGTGGTCTGCATCTTTTTTTCCTGGCAGGGCCTTTTTGTCAGTGGGTGAATTCTTCTGTTTGCTGACCTTTCCCTAGTCCTCACTGTCCAGTAGCACTGGAAATAAGAGATTGTCATTGACTTCTCTTCAAATCCTTCCAACACAGCTGAAGGAAGATGGAAAAGTAAAGCTTTCCTCCTCCTCCAAACTTGGAAGGGGAAGGAAGATGGAAAAGTAAAGCTTTCCTCCTCCTCCAAACTTGGAAGGAGGGTTCTAGGTGACTAACTGAGCACTTAGCATGGGTTCTACCCCCAGCACTGCAAAATAAAAACAAATCAAAACATTTGGAGGGAGCTCTGCCTCTTTATTAGGATTTCTTCTCCATGTTTGGTTGGGTAGCCAAGAATCAGCAGGAGAGAGAATCAGAGAGGCAGGAGCTCTCTCTGCCCCCCAGTGGATCCCCAGGGTGAAGGCCTGCATATCCTAGGTGCAGGCCCTGTGCCAGCACCAGCATCTCATAGCACCTCTGCAGCTCATGCCTGTGATTTTACCCAGGAATTTTCCTCTTGCCTGCTGGTTGTATGGTTGACAACCTATAGGTCACCTCTGTGTGCTGACACCTGTCCCCAGATTTCAGTATTGGTAAAGGATTTTCCTGATTTTTTATTCACATACCATATAGTACACCCATTTCAAGTGTACAATTCTGTAGTTTTTAGCTCACTCACAAATCTCTAAATCATCATCACAGTCAGTTTTAGAACATTTTCAGCACTTTGACTCCCTTACAAAATCCCTAGGTCTCCACATTCTCCCACCCACAGTCCACCACCCCTGTTCTAAGGAACCAATCAATCTTCTGTCTGTAAAGAGTCTCTTTTCTAAATTTGCATATGAATAGGATCTTGTAAGATGAGGTCTTTAGTGACTGGCTTCTTTCACTTAGCATACTTACCAGTTTCATCCATGTGGTTACTGTATGAGTACTTCATTCCTGTTTATGGCCAAATATCATTCCACTGTATGCATGGTCCACAATGTGCTTATTCATTCATCCACTGATGAGCATTTGAACTGTTTCACCTGCTAGCTATTACAAGTAATGTTGTACAAATGCTGTAACATTTGTGTAGAAATTTCAATACAGACATGTGTTCTTACTTCTCTTGGATACATACCTAGAAGTAGAAATGTTAGGTTATATGGTAACTTGATGTTGAACCAACTGAGGAACTGCCAGACTGTTTTCCAAAGTGGTTGCCCCATTTTACACTCCACCGTTGTGATTACTCCACATCTACAGTCCTCTAACATTTGATTTTAGCCACATCTCCTAATGGTTTTCATTTACATTTTCCTGTAGATTAATGACACCCAGCAACTTGTGTACTTATTGGCCATTTGTGTTTCTTCTTTGGAGAAACGCGTATTCAAATCCCTTACTCATTTTTAAATGGGCTGCCTTTTGAGTTGTAAGTGTTCTTTATATTCTAGTACAAGTCCCTTATTATATAAACAGTTTACAAATATTTTCTCAAATCCTGTGTATTGTCTTTTCACTTTCTTGATGTCATCTGTTGAAGCATAAACATTTTTTCAAACATTTTATAAAATTTTTATGAAGTCAAGTTTATCTATTTTTTTCTTTTGTTGCTGTGCTTTTAGTGTCCTATCTTATCATCTTTTGCCAAATTCACATTCATGAAGATTTATCCCTATGTGTTCTTCTAAGAGTTATATCTTATCTCTTCCATTTAGGTCTTTGGTCCATTTTGAGTATCTTTTGATTGTGGTGTCAGGAAGGAATCCAGCTTCGTTCCTTTGCATGTAGCCATTCAGTCTCCCTAGCACCATTTATGGTAGAAACTAATCTTTTTCTCTGTGAATAGAGTATTAATCCATTTTTCATTACTATAATAAAATGCCTGTGTCAGATTTTTCAAATGAAGAAGTAAAAATAGCCAATAAATACATGAAAAAAGTTCAAAATCTTTAGCCATCAGTGAAATGCAAAAAAAAAAAATTACACTAAGATTTCAACTGATCCCAGTCAGAATGGCAGTCATCAAGAAATCAAATAACAACAAATGCTGGTAAGGATGTGGAAAAAAAGGAACTCTATTCACTGCTAGTGGAATAAAAATTAGTACAGCCACTATTTTAAGGTAATCAGTATGGAGGTACCTCAAAAGTTAAAAGTGGAACTCCCATATTACCCAGCCATATCACTTCTAGGTATATACCCAAAATAATCAAAGTCAGCTTACTACAGCGATAAATGTATACCCATGTTTATCACAGTACTATTCACAATAGCCAACTTATGGAATCAGCTAGGTGTCCATCAATGGATGAATGGATAAAGAAAATATGTTATATATACACAACGAAGTTTTACTCAGCCATTAAGAAGAATGAAATTGTGTGTTCACTGGAAAATGGATGAAACTGGAGACCATCATGCTAAGTGAAAACCCGCAAAAACAAGTATCCCATTTTCTCTCATTTGTGGAAGCTAGAGGGAAACAAAAACAAACAAAACAATGTCATTAAAGTAGGAGGAAAAAGAAGGAGGAATAAGGAAGTTATAGAGGAGGTAAATATGATCAAAGTACATTATGCTCGTGTATACAAATACCATGATGAAACTCCCTACTGTGTACAATTTAATATATGCCAATAAAAAGAATACCAGAATCAGGAAAATGATATAAAGAAAAGAAACTTATTTTGGCTCATGATTTTGGAGGAGCAATGTGTAGGGGCTGCCTCTAGCAATGATCTTCTCACTGGCAGAGTCCTGAGGTGGTGCAAGGCGTCACAAGACAAGAGACATGGAGCTCCATGTTTCTGTAAAGCCACCAGGATTCAGTCATTGGAGTCCTACCCTAATGGCCTTACCTAATTTACCTTAATCTAATGGTTTTATCTAATCTCCACCCTAATTGCCTTATATAACCACTCCTAAAAGTCCCATATCTATAAGGTAATCAGTATGAGTGTGTTTAAAGATCAAGCCTTTGAACATATAATTAAGGTTTAATGAGGGCACTAATCTGATAGTGCTGATGCCTCTGTAAGAAGGATAGCCATCAGA